AAAATAAAGGGAGCTCTGAACTTTTTGTTGATTAATATTTATACCACTTATAAGGTAAATACGTAATATGAAAGGAAAAGCACCCCTCTGAACGAAGAAAACCGGCGCTCCCCATCGCTCGGGTGAGCGCCTGAGCTCTGCAGAGCAGGAGGTGAGCGGTGGGCAAGCGAGTGAAAACTGGCGCTCCCCAGTGTGAGCGCTGGGGAGCACTGGTTTTCACTCATGCGAGATGGGGAGCGCTGGTTTTCGCTCATGCAAGTGCTGGGGAGCACCAGTTTTCGCTCGCTCGCCCGCCTCTCACCTCTGGAGCTGCCCCGGTTACAGCCCTGGCTCAAATGAAGGCTCTCCTCTCCCAGCCCTGCCACTTGAGTATTGGCGTATAACACGCAGCTAGGATTTCACCCCCAAATTTTAAGGAAAAAAGTGTGTGTTTTATGCCAATAAATACGGTGACAAAGCAGGGCAATCAGATAGGGTTACATAAACATGGAGCTCCCAGGCCAGCCCCGAATACTCAACGTTCCTCCCTCTTATAAACCCACGTAACAATCAGGAGATGACCAGACAAGTAGATGATTAAGTATACTCTATTATTTTTACTCCAAAATGATACTTATGCTAAGTATATTTATTCCTGTATATTCATTCCATGTTATTCCTGTAATCACGATTTGAGCTAATTAAATTGCAATATTTTAATTCATACTTTATATACAAATTCGTACTTTAAAAAAAGGGCTAGCCAATGTTTCATTTGTTTTGCTCAATCAAATCAGGAATATCAGAGCTGAACATGAATCAGTGCAGGAATGCTGAAGAGCAAATGATTCCCTAATGAAATGATGAGTAGGCATTCCCCCAAGTCAATTAAAGTAAATAAGCTACCTACAGGAATTATTGGAAAAGAAAATTTCTTCTGCCACATCAGCTGCAATTTCACTGCTGTTGCTTGTTCCTGGAGAAGGCTCTACAGCAAAAAGAAATCCAGGCTGTTAGTCACTGAGACTAGAAACTGGCTTAGCAGAACACAAGTAGCTGCTTATGTCTCAGCCTCAATCTCAGCTTAAGAAGGAGATCTAGCTGACCCATTTTAAAAGGTTCCCATATCATTTTGATCAGCACTTAATTTCAGAGAAAGGTCACTTTTACAAGAAATGGGTGGAAGGAGGTCCAGGACCACCCATACATTTCAATTCAAAGTTGGGGAGCTTATGGCTGTGCACATGTTGCATAATGACAACACCCATTAACCCACAGCCAGTGACAAGAAATGATGGGACTTGTGGTTCAGTAACATCCAGAGAGCTACATATTCCACCCATCTCTGCAAACACGTTTTAGAGATGTAGCTACTGTTTCTTAAGGAGCCAGATTCAGTTCTGAAATTGGCAGCTGCTGATCCCTCTTGCAAGGATAAGATATGAAAAGCGTTCAGCATAAGTATGCATCATGTAATGAAGGTTTTCTCACTAATGAATACATATGCCAGCATTTCCATATGCTGAGTATAAAGTCTGCAGCTGGCAATCAGATCAAACCTGTGTTGACCTGTCACTGGCCAATTTAAATTTAAATACATTTTCCTATAGGGAATGCACACAGATGTATTTCTTAAAATATTACAAGAAGAAATAAACAAACAAACCAGGCTTGTGTATTATATTAGAAGGTACCATTCATTGCTAAACAGGAAGGCCTTTTTATTTATAAAGTTTCTAGTACAGTAATACACCAGAACCAACTCAGCCATTGAGAGAAATAAACCTCTATTAAAGCCATTCCATATCCATATTGCCAATGAGTTCAGTATATTGACAAAGCTAGAAAAAGTGCCTGCTAAGCAACAGACATAGAACAAACTTTAGGGATGCTTATGAGTGAGGCATGTTATAGCCATGGATAATAAAGGATCAGAGGAAGGAACGGAATAAGATTCAATAACCCAAAGCAAAAACAGTGGCAAGTTCAAAAACTTCCATCACGCCCTCCTCATTTGCCACCCAGGAGCATTTGGTGGCTACAGAACACCAGTCAGGGTTAGGTCTGATCCAACCAAGCCATGCTTTCTCAAGTTCTGCATCAGATTAGAACAATGCCAGACCATGCTGGTTTTACATCCTTAGTGATACTCAGAGCTTTGTAATAAGTCAGCATGTTTACTCTTTATGTAAGTGGGCAATGGAAATTCCACCAACTCTGTGATGGCTGCACTGGGTAATTCCTCAAAACAGATGCTTCCAGCTGTCTCCTTAACTCTTCAACAACACTGGCAACACTGCTGATCTTCTGAATGAGAAAAGTAGGTTCATTCATTTGGATGGGATCACCAATGTAAGCTTCTTGTTCTGATGAGGTATTCTAACCATTAAAAAAAAAATCAAGAATTAAACACAGCCCCAGCAATATTTCAGTGAAGAATTTCTAACAATACTGTAATTAGAATCTGAATAATAGAACAGATAAGGGAGAAAAAATGAAATTAAATCCTGAAAAGGTGGAAATTCTGTAGACAGGTAAAAGGCTGGATTTTGAGTTTCAGGTTAAGCATGTTTTAGATGGGGTTGCACTCCCCAGTGAGAGCAGCTTTGCAGTTTGGGAGTGCTCCTTGAACCCCACCTGCCACTGGATTTGCAGATTATGGCTCTTGTAAGCTTTTGAACTGTTAGTGTACCAACTCCACCTTCCTCAGTTGGTTGGATTTAATGGCAATTGCCACCAGTCTTGACTACTGCAATGCATTTGATTATGGAGCTACCCCTAAAAAATGTCTGAGAACTGTAGCTGGCGCAAACCCAGCAACCATCTACAGGGATCATACAATGCCTGTACTAATGATATGCGCTGGCTGCCAATTGCCTGCTGGATACAATTTAAAATGCCCCATTGACTTCAAAAGCCCTAAAAGAATCTAAGACCAAAAACAGCCACTCTTTCTGCTGCGTTGCAGGTCCCTGACTACAGCAGAATTCAGGAGTCTAACCCTTACTTCCAATTAATAAATTTCCTTCTTTAAAAAATAAGATAAACGCAGCCATTGGGCGAAGACAACAGAAAGGGTTATAGCACAGGGGGAAGAAGTCATGATGATCTGAAGATTGCTCCCCACCTCCAAAGTATACACTTGCCCAAATATTCAAGTACCTTTATGTTGCTTACAACCTCTTCATTTGAATAATGCCCATTGGACATACAGGTAGTCCTCATCTAATGTCTACTCATTCAGCAACTGTTTGAAGTTACCACAGCACTGAATGAGGGGGGTGGGTCCTTGTAGTTGCAGCCATTGCAGCATCCCTGCGATCACATGATTGCAATTTGGGCACTTGGCGACTGGCTCACAATTACAATGTTGCAGTGTCTCATGGTCACATTATCGTCATTTGCAACCTTTATTACTGGCTTCCAACAAGTCAATGGGGAAGCCAGCAAGAGGTTGCAAATAGCAATCATTTGACATTGCATGTAATGACCATGCGGGATTCGCCTAATGATGGCAATTGGGACTACCTGAACTGTCGTCGTCAGTGTGGTCATGTGGCGTTGCGCTTTACAACTGCATCACTTAGCAATGGAGTTCCCAGTCCCAATTACTGTTGGTAAGCGAGGACTACTTGTATATTTATTTAGGTATCTAATTTTAATCCACCCAATGACAACAGTTTCCCAGAGTTTATGAATATACAAAGGCAGAAGCACAGCATGGAGAAAAAGAGATTTTAATATTGTATTTGTTGTATATGCTCAGAAGGCAGCAAAAGGGAGGAAGAGGAGGAGGAGGAGCAGCAGCAGCAAAACCCTTTTCAGTAGAGTACAGAGTATTTAGAACTCTCATTTCTGCGTAGGGCTGGGGGGGAAACAACCCTTAAAATACTATAATGAGCAGTCAAACCAATACTGTAATTAACTGTGCTATTCAGAGAACACTTGCGTACATAAAAGGTATCTCTGGTGTGCAATTGTGACATGGATGTTCCATTAAGGGCAGTGAGAATCGCTTCCAAATTACATTTTTAGGATCCACAAGTTTAATAAATGTTTAAAATCAGCCTATTCTGCATTGGAAGGGCCACCAAAGCACATTAGCACCCAGTCTTGCCCTTGTTTGTTCAGAAACAGTTCTAGGACTTTCAATGTTTTAAATAGATCTGAATGGTTACCATTAATGTAATGTTTTACCTTCATCACTTCTTCAGAGTTATTCTGCAAATCCAAAAGATTGTGAATTCTTCCAGTAAGCTGCTTATCAGTTGAGTCTGTTATTTGCTGAGCCACTATAAATTCTTCCTCAATAATCCCTAGCACCATTTCTTCTTGATCACAAATGCACTTCTTCATAAAACCGAAAGCTTCTGAAATAGAGCTTCTGGTTTGAGACATATAATCCTAAAATCAGGAAAGACACTGTTGCTGATGAAAGACTTATTCTATATGGAAGTTTTCAACTTTTAAATTTTCCCTTTAAATTCTAACAGAAGGCTTCGACAGTTTGAGAGCCAAGCCAGCTCCTCTCACAATCAAGCATTCTCTACTACTTAAAAGTCTTCTTCGAATCAAACTCAGCTCCTGTTGACTTCACAATTACATCCATATACAGTAGTTTCTGGGCACTCCCTTCTTCCAGAAATGATTTCAGTTCCCAGTCTAGTCCACAACCCTGGGATGATCTGACAGTTTCCCACCTGCATATAACCAGGCCCGGCCCTGCTTAGCTTTCTGAATTCAGCCAAGAGCAGGCAGGTGGCTTTAGCTGGCAACATCTGTCTCTTTGTATGTCACTTCTACAAAGTAAAACCAGCCCCGTCACAACTGTCTCCATTCTTTTAATGACTGCTCTTCCAGGAAGTGCAGAAAAGCAGTTCAGGAAATGTCAAAGGGAACAAATTAGCAGGAAAGAAAAACAAACCAGAAATAAATCAGATAATCAGGACTGATATGGTTACCACATATCATAACTTTTAAAGGAAACACAAGGTCCAATTCATGGCTGACAGCTCCCAGTATCTGGAGAGAGCAGACTACAGTATTCCAAAAGCCATGCTAGGGAAGAGCAATTGGTCTATTTAATAGTGGCAAAGTTTTTCCTTGATTATAATATATTGGGTGGTGAGCCGGTGCATGCTATGCATGCTTCCCCATGAAATATTTTGCATTCTATTACAGTACAACCACTGCAGAGATTCTTCCAGCATCAGCTTTTGTGAATTATGTCCACTTCATCAGAAATGTAAAATGGTGGGATTATTATTCCCAGCAAACAAAGTTGTTTGAATGTGCAATCTGCCTGCAACTACCAGCTAGAGAGGGAAAAGGCAGACTGCAGCTGTGCAATATCTACACAAAGCCTCTGTGGGAAAAGGGTGTCAGATGTCCTGGAAAGGATTAAAAGGACTTGACTGGATCACACAAAGGACATTTCAGTACCAACCTTCATTGCAATGCTGTCCTTCCTCCAGGTTACGATTGCCTCCAAGACCATCTGCACTTGTTTTGGGATTTCACTTATTTTGACTATGTCCTAAAGAGCCCCCCAACAAAAAACAAACAAACAGCCCATTAATTTTAACGTATTCATTTTTAACTCCTGAAGATACTGATTTCAACAGAAGTAACTGTTTACATTTTATATATGCATTCAGAGATAACTGACACCTTTATTCTAATAAGGCTACCTTGCAGAATAAGATGTTGCAGAATGTAAGGACTTATGGCAAAAATGCTGAAAATGTTCTATCAATTCTGGGTTGCTTAGATCAAATATAACTTTTAAGAAAACAAGGCACACTGAACAATTTTCACTAAGCTTCTTGGAATCCAGACTGTTCATTTATCTCCTCTCCACCATCAGCTGGCTAAGTCAAACCTTAAGTACTTAAGTTAGGTTCAAATGAACCATTACTCCCTTTGGGAACGAAGAAGATATTTTAGGGATTGTGTGTTAACTTTCCAGTTCCTCTTGTTCAATCAAAGGCTTTAGTGACAGCAAAAGTAAAAGTCACACATTTCTTGATTGCCTTTGGTTTTCTGATGGATGTTGACAAGAAAAATGCAACTTACATCCAACCTCTACTCCCACCACACTTTAGGATTCTATCTTGGAGAAAAGCAAGCTCTGGATTTTTAAAAAATTATTACTGATACAAAGAGTTACTGTAGATTCAAACAGGATAGTAAACTATTTTTTTCCCCCACAGCTTGTTGAATAAGCAAAAACTGACAAAGTTCACACACCATGGCTTATAAACCATAGCTTATAAACTACAATTAGCCAAGCCAAAACCACATGGCTCAGTACCATGTATGAATCCAGTTCAAATACCTGGATCCTTCACAGCTAAATAAGAATATTTATTGCATCATTAATAAGTCTCATTAAAAGGGCCTGAATTACATGCAGAAGCTTTGGCAGCTGATATTTCAGAGCTATGAAAGAAGACATAGATAAAAATGTAGCTTGGAGTAATTCTTTTGAGGGCAAACTACACTATTTGGCAGTGCCCCTACACCCACACCTTTTGGTTAATGAAAAAAGGTGGAAGTGAGTGGCTTCCTTGGTGAACAGAAGATAGGTGGGAACAGTCAGCTATTTCCTTTCTGATTATTTGTTTATCAAGGAAGAAGGCTTTAAAACACACTCCATAGGTCATCAGTGCAGAAGATCCCAGGTTCAGTTTAAGCCCTGAATGGGATATTCAGAGCAGTCGCTGGGGAGTTGGATGCTTACCTCTAGGGCACAATCTGACTCCTTCCAGAATTTGCCAGGTATGATAGCTAGAGAGGATGGAAGTTGATTTCCATCCCGAAAAATAAATGCTAGGAAAGGCTACTTAGGCTTCGTCTTAAACTTTAGACAATACTAAAGCTCCAAGGCTCACGCTGGGTAATGCAACAAAACCTATTATTGCAATGGAAACCCTTCCTTTATCCAAAAATGCCCATCCTATCAATAGGAAGCTCTTTCATTACAGGAGAGAGAGAGAGAGAGAGAGAGAGTGTGTGTACGTACACACACACACACAGATTTAAAATGTGTCATACATAACTCTTTCCCAACCAACCCAAGTCTGCATTTCGTACTGCTGATAGGAGGGAGAGATTGGCTAAGTCTAGAAGCTATCAGCAGATGCAACATCTGAACCGGGGATTTCCCCAGCCCAGCTCAGTCCTCTAGAATAACAGCAGCAGCACAGAAGGCCACCCAGCCGGTCAACCCACTGCAGACTCACAGCTTAACCCCAATATTAGGGTCGCCGGAGAGCGCCGCCCCATGCCCGCTCACCTGAAAACCGTGCCTGGTGGTGGCCAAGTCCCGCTTGCAACCCGCCCCATCCGGGAAGCCCGGCTGTGCCAGCCGCCCCGAGGCCCGCGTGGGAAGCGGGTCTCTGGAGGCTGCGCATTTATATCGTTCCAGGACCAGCTCCAGCAAGACGTTGCGTTCGGGCAACTTGTCGTCCAAGCCGCGCTGGCAATTGGGGCAGTTGCGGTTTCCGTGCTGGCCCTTCAGCCATTTCCGGATGCAGTCCAGGCAGAAGCTGTGGCCACACTGCGTCGTGGCCGGGTGGCTGAGCAGACCGAGGCAGATGGAGCACTGCAGGTCCTCCGCCTTCAGCCACACGGGCACTTGCCCGTCGGCAGCAGAAGCCATGGCTGTCAGCCGCGGAAGGCGCCCGAGAGCGAAGGGCGGGCAGCAGGGCGAGAAGCAAAACAGAAACGGCGGCTCAGGGGGAAGTACCCATCGCAGGCTCCAAACAGAACATGGGCTGGATTCCCGGGGAAAGTGGAACGGGCCGATGAAAGAGAAACGATGTTGAAATGACAGGGATTACGTTGTCCTTTCCCCCTTCTGCTAGGCTGTTTTACACGTTCATTTAATACGACCTAAAACTATTGTTATCTCTGAGATAGAAAAAAGGCTCTAATACTGGGAAAGGTGGAAGAAAAGAAGAAGAGGACGATCAGTAGCAAGGTGGATGGACTCAGTTACAGTGGTGATGAATGCACCATTGGAAGATCTGAAAGACCAAGTAAGGGATGGATTGTCATGGAGAAAATCTATGTAGTTGCTGGGAGTTGAAAATGATTTCTTGGCACATAATTAATCAATAAAAACAATACTTCTGGAAAAATTGTGTCACAGATGAAACAAAGTCAAAAGGGATTCTTCCCATTACCAGTGTCATAGCGTACAGTACAGGTAGTCCCGGGGTTAAGAATGCCCGGTTTATGGACGACCCATAGTTAAGGACAGAGCTTATTGTAGCAAAATTCCAGTTAAATACACAATGATTTGAGTTAGTTAGACAGTACTATGAGGAAAATATACCTTTGAAGCATGTTTTTAGAGGCCTCAGATGAATGGGATCACCTTAATAAAATTGAAACATAAAGGAATGTGCAGCACCCTTGAAGCTGGTACCTTTGAAGCTGGTGTGAACTAAGTTGATTGTAAACTCCTTATCACATACATCCCCATAGCAACTTAAGGGAGGATGCCTTCTTCCTTGCATTTGGCACCTTGAACTAATTAGTTTTTTCTTTTCTTCTTCCTAGTAGGTAGCAGTTGTCCTTGTAGATAGCAGATAACAGAGGGGTAGAAAGTAACTTGAGAAGTATTGCTCATTTAGGTATGCCTGCATCATCATATGAATATGTAGGCGTATGTGTTCTTTTTCCCTTCCCCTTCTTGTAGAGCTGTATAAATATCAGGGCATCCATTCTGCCTGCAGGGGGAGTGTCTCCCACTAACCTTTGGTGGGGTACCCCTCCAGTATGTACTGTCTAATAAACACTGCAGTGAAGCCTTGATTATTTTGCATTTGTGTCCTGCGTTTTGATTCCATAGTACTATTTATACATACAATAATTTATACATACAATAATACTGTTCCGGTTTACATACAAATTTGACTTAAGGACAGACCTCAGGAGCGGAACTCATTCTTAAACCAGGGACTACTTGTATCTATATTTCTGGTTCTGCTGTACAGTATGATAATTATTTACTTTTCCAGGGGATATTATGTAGTTCAGCTTGGAATGTTTATACATGCAAATAAAAAGAGCAGCAAATGGAGAAGACAGTTGATTTTCCAGCTGCAGTTATGTACAAAGAAATTTCATTTTTTACTGGTGCTTCTAGCGGGAATGTGACATGGGTAGGGGAGGCTCTTTCCCAGGAGACAAATCACAGCTTCCTATTGTTTTGGTATGAAAACATCCACCTTAAGAGGTGTGTAGAAAAAGGAGGGAGATTTCCAGACAGAGCTCAAAATTTGCAGGCATTTGGAACATAGCTATAAATATGTTTATAGTGCCAGTTTATGATATTTTTGGTCCTCAAAATAAAGCCCAAATCCATTCTTCCCAGACACTTGAGAAATCCTTGCGGCACCTATCAGTCATGAATTCACAACTTCAATTTTCTGTCCGCTTCCCCATTCACAGTGCCAGCTGCAGATAGCTTCACTCTGTAGCACAGTGTGATTCAGAATTGCATATATTTTGATGCTTTTCATTTTAAAGTACCTTCTAAATCAGACTTCTTCAATTTGGTGTCCTCCACATGCATTACAAATCTCACATGGCTGCTGGCTGGGAAGTTTGGGAGCTGGAATCTCAATATATCTATTAGGCATGTGTATAAATATGGTATTTCATTCTGTACATTTCTCTTTGAAGAGAGAAGAGAGTTAACTGGAGCACGTGCAGTGCAACCCATCAATAACACCCATCAGGAGTTGGAAGAAATAATAGCATACTTTATTCCCTTATGCTGGTTTTTATGGAAACCTCAGGACTGAGAACAGTTTCACAAACACTAGCCTTACCCCTTTTCCCCTCTGCAATTGTTCCACGCCACTCAGTGGGTCACTGCTGCACAATGCAGCTGAGTGATGTGGAGGAAGGACTGAAAGGCTATCCAGCTGGCCAACTGGGGAATGTAAACATCAGTGCTCAGGCCACAGCCAGTACCTTACCACCTCTCCCCACCGCCCCATTTCTTCATGCATTTCATTTCACAATGAAGAAAACCCAAACTTTGCCAGAGACAGGAGAGCTTCTCTTTGCCCCTGAAGAACATGAGGGTGATGGTCTTAGGGCAACGGGCCACTTAGCAAAAGGGGGGAAATTCCAGGACTTAATGGTACGACTAAAATTTCCACTAAAGAGAAGCTGTCCGACTCAGAAGCTCCAGGGGAAAGACTGCAAAACTGTCTTTGCAGCCTTTCCTTTGCGGGCAGGGCTAAGAGGAAACACAAGTCAGAAACGTTCCAATTTCCTTTCTCAGCAAAGCTGGTTGTAGGACTCTGCAGACACAGGCATTCTGCTTTAGTAGAAATGTAAAGTACCAGACTGAGGAAAGAGGGTCTAGTTTATACAATGTAGGGGTATACAAGTCCCAATCATCAGAAACAGAAGATATGTTTTAAAGGGCGCAAGAAGCACGTCCTCCTCTTAAACCGTCCAAGAAACTGTGTCTTCACTTTAGCCAGGTTCCCGAGTTGTTCTAGGCCTTCTTGGCAGACATGCACGGGGCCGTCTCGCCTCGTTTCCCAGCGGTTTAACGACTGGAAAAAGGAACTGCTTCCTGCAAAGCAGTTGCTCCAAAGCCCCTCTTTCGAAGGATTTGCATAGCCCCGTTCTAACGCAATCTGAAACAGAGAAATTACGAGGCCACGTGCCCCCAGGAGCATTTTTCCGCTAGGCCGGAACTATCCGCGTTAGCTTTCAAGGCCGCCGGTGCTCTGCTTTTTGAGGACCGGGCAAACAGGATACGAGGAGAGGAGGCAAAACGGCGTAGCGCCGATTAGAAGAAGGCGAGGATGAGCGTGAAGCGCCTTCCCGGGCTCTTCTGGGGCGGTAAGGAGGCGGCGTCGAGGGTCCCCTTTGCAGGCTTTCCTCGCGGAGGGAGAACGGGATTTGTAGAGACCCCGCCCCAGGCCCGAGCTTCCTCGTCTTTTAAGGAGGGAAAGCGAGCGTTGCAGCTTGAGCGATCAGAAAATATGATTTTGTCCACAGCTGCCGCCCTAGAAATCTAACTAATATTGGCCAGATAGGCAACAGTAGTGGTAGCATTTGAGTCCAGGGAACGGAACTAGTATTTGGCCTGTTTAATTATATGCCTGTAAAATATACAGTGATCCCAAGTAACGAATGAAGATACGCCATCCTTTTTCAACTCGGTGCCCTCCAGTTGTGTGGGGCAATTTGTAATCCATCACAACTGGAGGACACCTTTGGGGAAAGCTCAATAAACACGCTCTTTGGGGTTTAAGGGAGACAAGAAATACATTTTGTGCATGGGGCTGGTGGGGACCACTCATGTTGGCAGGAGGTCTTCATGGACTGTCCCCAAGCAGATGTTACACAATGGATCTAAATTTCTTAATATAGCAGTGAGAATGGAGCAAATTGCTTGGGTATAGTTTTCTCTGGTATGTTCACTGTGCTGTGAAGAAGCTAGGGGCTTGTAAAAATCTTGTTCCTTGATATGATCAGTAATGATGGATAAACTTCCCTCAAAAGTGTAGAGGCCACTTAACTGTTCATTTTTACAACTGCAGGCATTTTGGAGTGTGTTTGAGAATACAGCTGGGCAGAGATCTAGATCAAAGGGCAAAATGTTATTTGGAGCACGTATGCACATAGCGTCTTTTGGGAACTTCTTAAACCAAATACATCTTTGCCTGGGATCATATATCAGCTGCAAAGGGTAGCTATAGGAGCCTAGGAAAAGATGCAGCTCTCTTAAGGTGTTCCTGACAAGTGTTGTGTGCCTCTCCATTTGTGCTCTGAATCACATTTTGCCTTTTCAGTTCAGAAATTTGCACAGATATATTTGACAGTATCCTTTTGCCTGTGGTGTTGAGGTATAACTGGGTTTGGGCAATGTTCAGTGTGAATAGAGATGTGGCATTCTTTGACTTTGGAAAATCCTTACCCTTGTTTGTTTGTTTGTAAACTAGCACCTCTTGAGATTTAATTGACCAGATTAAACTGCTTTTGTTACCATAGCTTTACCAAGTGAACAAAATTAACCTGAAATAACCCAGCAAATTAGTAGCTGCTGTCACCTGCTGACCTAATAGCATTTATCAAATATCTGGGGGTAAGAGATAAAGTATCTGATAGCCACACACTTCACACTAAGTAGAATTCAATAAATTACAGTTGGGTGGGTTTGCATAACGTACTCAGCTAAAAAGTATAGTAAATGATTAAACATATCCCACCATTTGAATTGCACTTTGTAGTTTATAGAGTCTTATGACTGGAAAATGATTCTGCAATTGAAGCTTGCAACCAAAATTGGGTAACCAGAAACCCTAAGTAAGGTCTGTTTTGAATTCACACGGTATTGTGAGTTATAAAATGGGGGCATAGAACACTGAATTTTTAGCTTTGCACATCAGACATACTGTATATAGCCTAAACAAACAAACAAAGTAACAGTTGGACTCACACAACAGGTAAACTAATATTGTAGTCTGTTTAAACAAGGATTTTTAACTTTAAAGATCTCCAAATCTTAAATGCCCTCTTGCTGATATTTTTCCTTCTATTTTACAGAGGATCTATTCTAGTAAATAATGAATAGGTCAAATTGATAATTTTAGGAAAAATGGCTAATCTTTGGACAAAACTATAGGCTTTTTACTAATAGAAAATGGATTTCTGAATCCTGTTTATCATTTATCTCATATGAACCTAGACAATTGTGGATTATTAATAAACCATGGCTCAGTACAATAGATCAGCTTCAATGGTGGTGTGTAAAGGCTTCCCTGAATGTAAAAAGCTTATCCTTTTCTCTGCCCCCATGCCCCCAAGGAAAGAACATAACATTTGGGGCTGTTGAAGAAAAAGAGATGAGTAAGGACACAACAGAGCTTAGTAGAGCTATGTATACAGTAATGCTGAAAAAATGCAAATCCTTTCTTGTAAAGTTAAATAAATAATTATTTTTATATAGGAATCTTGTTGCGTTTTAATGTATTTTAATTCATATTTATTCTATTTTAATTCATATTTATTCTTTTTACTGTAAACTGCCCAGAGTTGCTCTGCAGTGAGATGGGCGGTAACAAATTTGAATAATGAATGAATGAACAAAATTCAGGACAAAGAAAATGGTTCAGCTTTTGGTAGAATGTTTAGGGTATGTGAATAATACCCTGAAAAATTCACAGATGAATTGAGAGAAGTGTCTTAGCACTTCCTAGTAGATCTAACTATTGATATCTGGCCTCCTCAGTAAATGCTTGAACTGGTTTTGTTACTGATGCTAGTGGAATAACTCACATATACCTTTATTTTCAGGGAGGAAATGCTTTCTTCAGGTTCTGCTTACTTCATCTCAGGGTCTTTTGTATCATAAGAAGTCTACATCTGTCGTAAAACAGATCTCTCCATCAGCAACTGAAGCAAAACATGCAATAGATGACTTGTTTTCTTCTGAGCAGCAATCTGTTATTTTGCAGTTTCTCAATTCAGCATCCGAAGAAGAACTTTCTGCCGTTAAACTATTGCAAGGAAAAAGGTCTTTTAATATAATTGGATACAGAAACAAGCATGGGCCATTTCAGGAATTACAGACTTTACTGCAAGTCCCTTTTTTTCAATATAAAACAGCTGTTAAAGTATGCAACTTCATTCTCAAACCTCTAGAAAAAGAAGAGAAAAAAACATGCAGTCCTGTGTCTGGGATGAAATGTATCAGTCCTGCAATTGAAAAAAAGAGATTGAAGGTAGGATTTTCAGCAGGTCTCACTATGTCTCCTACATCCTAATGTAGAGTTTACTTGTGTGTAGTTGGGAGTTACTCTTTCAACACAACTGCCTTTCCAAAGTTTAATCAAATGTTATTGTATGGTGTGACTCACTTTCAAGTGGAGAGAACAGTGGAGACTCAACAGGCAGCTAGCATAGAGCTGACTGCTAGAAAAACCACTTGTGAATTACTTTGCACTTCGAGGACTTGGCAACTGAAAAGGGGGTTGGGCCAAGGTACGAGAACTCTCTGTAAGTCACTCAGAGTTGAATGGTGAATAGGCAGCCTTAAATAACAAATACATTAAAAAAAATGATGGAAGTGTATGTTAAGAAGATGTTAAAGTCCTTGGCAGGTGCCTAAAACCAAAAGCAATTCTTTTCCAAGCACAATTCTCAGAGTTCTTGTTTAGCAGGATTTGTTTAGATGAAAGAGAGAGATTACAAGAATTCCAGCAATTTAATTATTTTCAGTTTAGAACCATTGTAACTTTGTTTGTTAGAGGCAGAGACTTTCTGTTTTTCCAGTTACCTTTTTGTGATCTAGTGAGGAATGAATCTCTTCAGTGATTTTTAGGAAAACATTGGTGGTTGGTTACCAACAGCCTTCTCAATCTTTCTCAATTTGGGAACCAATTCTTTCAGAAAGGAGGACATGGCCCACAATTAAGGGCAGGACTCTGGGAAAGAAACCTTGGGCTGGGCAGATTCACAGAGGGGGCTGTCTAGGGGAGCTGTCTAGACAAAGCTCAGGATTCTGAAGGTTCTTTTCAGACATCCTAGTTCCCAAACAGAACTGTTTTAGGACCATGGAAATCTGACAAGGGTGTAAACCAGGCTAATTTATGGGCCTATTATTGTCAGCATAATGTGATGTGAACATATTGCCTGCTGACACTTCCAGTTTTCCTTGGCCTGTTTGTAAAATAACTCATAACATTGCTAAATACTTGAGATTGTAAGTCAGTAAACACCAGGATGCATACCGGATTTACAGTATTCTTCGATTATAAGAGTATGAGGTTTAAGAAGAAATGTGAGTTAGAAGTTCCTCTGCCTTCCTCACCTGTATACGGCTTTTTGCATCTTAGATTGTTTGGCAAAATTACATGAAATGGTAGGAATTCAAAGAGCCACGCTAGGATTGAGCCTACTTTAGTAAATTTAAGTATGCCTTTTCAGTATATCCTTCTGCTCTAACACAAATAGTGTTTATTTAGTATTTAAATTTCAGTTCCCAAAACAGCTTGATATAGGCCAGCTGTTAGAGGTATAGGCAAAAGTTCCTCAGATGTGCAGTACAGTACCTTAGATCCTACGTCCTGGTTCACATTATGGTGGTTTTCTCCATCTAGCCCTTCTGGCTGGGAATTGTAGGAGTGGTATTCCCAGTTCTGGAGTGCACAAGTTCAGGAGGGCTACATTAAAAGTGATGTGCCAAGTAGGGTGGCTAAATAAATACATTTGATTTTTATGCATGAGAATATTCTCAACCACCTGAATTTATGAATAACCATCCTGTCTTTGCTTTGTGTTTTAAAAAACCCAAATAAATATATGCTCTTACTAGAATTTTGTAGCTATGTTCTGGAGAAATTTCATGTTCTCTAGCAAATGGAGGAAGAGAAGTCTCTTTACTTGCACCAGGAAAACTGTGGTTGTAAATATTTAAATACTGAACACTCTTCTCCATTTTTCCTTTCAGACTGCTAATAGTATTGTATCTATTGTTTTTGGCATGCATAAAATTTCATGGGCTCATGTTAATAGAGAATTGGTTGTGCAGAACTGGCATTTGGAAATCTACAAAAATAAGGAAGAAACATTCACACCAGCAATGTACTTTACTACGGTAAGTCATCTTTTGTGGCCTTGGTGGGCATTTTTTCTCTAAAGGGTATTCATTATTGAAATTTTATAGTTTTACAGCAGCTCTGTGGTGTGTGTTTGTATGTCACACATCATGCTAACTCATGATGAGAGATTAATTTTGCCATAGCCACCCATAATCTGTGCAGGGAACGCTGGAAAGATAATTCTAAAAATGGAGAAGAGCCTGGAAACATGATTGAAAACTGCAGGGTGAATTGGGAGTAAGCACTTCATATTTGTGCAGGATGAAGCTGGAATAGCTGGCTCATTTGCTGTCTCATTTTACAGGGACATGAGTAATCTTTAGAGGATAAAATGGGGAATTAATGCCTCCCACCTCACCTTGTACAGATCAGCTTCAGGCACCACTGGGTTTTCTGGCGTTGGGGAAAACGCAGTACAGCCAAGACAAAGTGTGGGCAGGCATTTCAGCCCAGGCACTTGTCAGCATGCCTCTCTATTGAGATAGGCTTCAGGATGGAATTTGTGGGTGGAATAGGTTAATGTATTATATTTGAGGGGGGGCTCTTTTGTTTGATTTGTGTTGCTTTTACGATTGTTTTAATCTGGGCTGTCTGTTTTATCACTTTCTATGGATTTTTTTGGTTTTGTATGCCAGCTAGAATTCATTGGAGTTGGGCAGCTGTAACAAATATAAATAAATAAATTGTGCTTTGGTCAAGAACCCAGGGGCTGGATGGCCTAATCTGGTCACCTAGAGCTTCCCAGACTGTTTCCCAGCCAGTGAATAGCCTTTGGAGTAGACAGTCTCTTGCCCTCTGGAAGTTGTGGGCTATAATTCCCACAACCCTTGCTATTTGCCATCCAGGTTTGGAAAGATGGCAGTTAAACACATCTGAAAAGCAACAGGTTCCCCACCCCTAATCTATAGGGTATAAATAAAAAATATGTTGTGCTTATGACTGAGCTGTGCAGAGAACTCCCAAGATTTTTGAGTTTCAATCTTCAGACTCAAAGACTGAAACAATATTTCAGCACTCGAGTTTACATCATACTACTGTATAGGTGTCTTACTAAGACGGCTATACTTACAGTGACTATAATTTCTTGGAAAAAATAAAGGACAAACCTGAAAAATGGACAAATCTGAAAGAGGTTCATAAGGATAAAACAAATTGTTTACATTTATAACTTTGCTTTACAAAGAAAAATTCAAGAGCAAAACCAAGAAAATAAATAAAATAAATCTTAAGGACAACTTTCTGAAAGGACTGTCCTTCAGAATAAAGGACATATGATCACTGTAACTATACTTGATCTTTTGATTTCAATATAAACACTCATAAAACAGGAAAATGAATAGTTAGTCCCAAATAGTTCTAATAGTTCGTTGGGGATAGACTATACATTTGTGACTACCTTACCAGTTTTCTTTCTTCATCTGTATCACCTCTGTTCTAGAGGGTTCCTTAACTTTTTGCAGGGGCACGCACAAAAGTAGCCTCCATCATGTTCAGCTAGCAAAAGTCTGCCAGATCTGTAGCCAACTCTTGAGTAGAGTATTCTCCTCTAGAGGAAGTTTTTAATGGACCCAACCCATTCTGTATCGAGTTACATGAGTCTATATACTTATATTTTCAAAGCTGTTTTTAAGGTGAAGTTCAACATAATTTCATCGTAGTATATTTTTATAAAGGTCATTACTTTCTGGAGGTTACCTGGGGAACGTATAAATAATTTCTCATAGATTAACGTAACACAAGCATACTTTAGTATTTGTGGTGCTGCATTATTCAAGTTTGATGAAATTGACTTGTACTTGTTTGTTTCAGATATCTACTATAATATCTACGATTCCTGAAGCAGACTTTTATGTTTTGGAAAAAATTGGACTTCCTCCCACACATGCTGCCCTGTTTCCTGTAACGTTGCATCTTCGTATAATGGAAGCTGTACTTTATGCATTATTACAAAAACGATTTGGAGAAGATGGACAACACAAAGTACTAAGCATGGCCCGGAATGCTGTGGGCAGATATTTTGGGCTGATGTTGGGAGATGTACGAATTAGTGGAATAGACCTTGTAAAACAGTTTCTGTTGGACTCTGTTACGCAGACATCCCGTGTGAGCTTTACAAACAACGTAGCTACTAGGCATATGCATATAGTGTCAGGTAATATATGGAAAAGAGAGGAGGAACTGTGTGATTCATTATTGCAGGCAATAGCTTTTTATGAGCTTCTGATATTAAACACCAATGAAAATTCTTAAGAATTAAATAAATTCATGATTGCGTGACTTCTGGATTGTACAGTAGATCTGTGACCTTTGATGTAACATTGGAGAAAGTTGAAATAGTCTTGTGGAGGTGTTAAAGTTCTACAAGATGTAAATTTTCTATTCAGTGTTTTTTTCTAAATATTTGACAGTGGGTTGCCACATGCATACACAGTAGTAGTATCAAAATTGTTTCCTGTTCTCAGCGTATCTTACCCTCCTAACTTTAGATAACAATTTAACATGTTCAAAACAAAAGAGTTATATAATTAACATGTCTTGGATCAATAACTCTGTAAAGTAACAAACAAATGAGCAATCTGTTAAATGCTTCAAATCCATATTGTATGTCTGGTAGAGAATGTTAAATGCTTAACTCAACTGCATGTTTCCAAGAGTCTTTTACATATGAAAGGTTCTAATGGTTATTTTTCTGCTTGGCCAACTTACATGCAACAGACTTCAGGAGTTACCAAGTATGGAAATATTGCTGTCTTTAATGTAAGCAATCTTCATTATTATTAGGGTTAAAGGAACTATCAGGAACAAGGAAATTAACTAGGGAAAAAGGAGTAGAGCCAAAAATTTGCATTTTTACATCAAAAATTTGCATTAAAAGTTACACCCCTCCTTATAGGTATTTTATTTTATTGTAGGGACAAAAAGTTAAAAAAAAACAAGCATTGGCACAGTGATAATATATAGCATAGAAAGATTTACAGAAATGCAGATAAATATTGCTACACAGCTGTAAAGAGCTGTTTAATGTAACAAAGGGATTTACAAAATTCACTGTTTTCCCTAGTAGACTTTGCCTGCTAGAGACAAATGTACAGGACTGCACATTTGTACATGCATGCACATACCCCAACCAATTCAATCTAAAGCAGGATAATTGTTGAGTGTCAACTGTAATATTAAATTAATCTGGATTTATTGATGATGAACATCCTAAGCAGAAAGCCACATCTTTTTCAAGTCAATCCAGTTGATACAGTGATAAGATTGAAGTTTTTAAAAAAAACATCTACCTGAATTGATCTGTTGTAATACAAATTAAAAGCTGATCTGGAATGTGGAAAGCAGCTAGTTGGTATATTTGCATCCTTCATAAATAAAAATTCAAAATATAATTGTATTTTGAATATACATTTGTATTTACAATGTTATTCTTGCCCACCGTTTTAAGGAAAATCAGTTGCCAGGCTGTTCAAAATTTCTTTGGGAAGATGAATCCCTTCCAAATAGTGAAGAAACCTGTTTGAAAAAAAAAATGGCAGGAGTTTAGATTAAACTAAGTATGATTAAGATGAAAACAGCTAGTTGATTGTTTTTAACCAGAATATCTTATGTATTTTGTGTTCCATTTGTAACTCAGATATATACATACATTGTATTCCAACACCAGAAAGTAAATCCCTTTGAATTCAATGGGATTTACTTCTAAGAAGGTATGACCAGAATTGAGCAATTATAGATAGCTTACCTTCTTTTTGTCTTCCCCTGTTCTTTCTGTTTCTCTGATTTACACATGTTGCGAAGAGTAGGCAGATATTCCATTACACTGGCTTGTCTGCTATTAAGACTTAAAGGTGTATTGGAAAACACGGTTTTGATAATTTCTTTCCTCTTCTGTGCATTATAGTGAATACTGTAAAAGAAAAGCACATATTTTCTATCAGAGTTATATTTTTATAAGTGAATATATACTGAAGATTGCTGAATTAACATCTTAAGTTTCCTAACCTCCTCCTAGGAGTATTCCTGAGCAGAGTTCTACTCTACGTGAAAGCTGGAATATACTTGGGGAAAAAAAAATGAAAGTCTCAGGAATCATGTAATAGGCAGAGACTAAGACTGGATATTAAATGTAAAAGACATACAAATGAATTATGCT